CACTAGGATGTTGCGGCAGGTCTTGCACAGGGGGCTGGGGACGTCCTTCTCCCGGCTCGGCCACTTCGTCGCCAGCCACCCGGTGTTCTTCGCTTCGGCGCCCGTGCTCATCTCCATCCTGCTGGGCGCCAGCTTCAGCCGCTACCAGGTGGAGGAGAGCGTGGAGCACCTCCTGGCCCCCACCCACAGCCTGGCCAAGATCGAGCGGAACCTGGTGGACAGCCTCTTCCCGGTGAACCGCTCCAAGCACCGGCTCTACTCCGACCTGCAGACGCCGGGGCGCTACGGCCGGGTGATCATCACCTCCTTCCGCAAGGCCAACATGCTGGACCAGCACCACACCGATCTCATCCTCAAGGTAACCGCGGCCCCCGCCGCCTCCCGCAACAGTTGGGAAGCGCGCAGGGGGCACCGCACCGCCGGCCCTGCGCTCCTTCCCTGCGCTCGCGTGTGTTTTATCCGAGTTGGGGCGGCTCGGGAAACTCCGACTCAGCGAGCGGCTGGGAACACGGCGAAGGGCAGCACCGAGCCATCTCCCACAGCGAGCGCAGCCGGCAGCGCTGACAGCATCTATCTGCCCGCGGCGCGGAGCGGGACGTTCCCGCAGCGTGTGCCGGAGCGCTGCGCCGCGGTGTCGGAGCGGGGAGGACGGGAGCGAATGTGTGCCGGGGAGGGTCGAGCTCACCGGGCAGGGCTCGTGGTGGTGCGCATAGCCCAGAGGTGTGGCAGGCTCACCCCCGCGTCCGCTCTGTTGCTGTACGGTGTATGGAAAGCCCGGGGGCTCGGTACCGCTTGTCTCCCCTGTGTCGGGCTATCACACCGCGGAGAACCAGGGTAAATTCTGTTCAGCGGCTCCGGGGAGTGTCCCTTCCCTAGCGAGAACATCGGCGCAGATAGCGCGTGTAGGCACTTTGGGTAGATGCGCCCCTCGCTAAGGTCGGCAATAACTGTTACAGTGGGCTCGTGGGTGTTTTATTCCAACTGTAACCATGTAAAGAGCTGTAGTGCAGTGCCCCTCCGTGTGCTCCGTTTCCTTTTTTCTCTGTATTGCCCAGTAGCGCTGGACACACCGCGCTGCCGAGTGCAGCCACAAAAATGTATGTCACCGCCGAGCGAGAAAACTCCAGAGGCGGTTTTCATTCCTTCATTTCCTTGTGCTGTGGATTGCATCCGCATCCAGCGCACACAGTTACTCAGTCATAGGGTAATGATGGCAATGGATTTTTTTTCTCTGCGCTGCTGCTTTCTCTGGAGATGTGTGGTTCTATCGATAGCACAGTGGCACACAAATAAATGCTATGCTGAAGCTCTCCACGAGCAAACTTCTGCGTCAGATTTATCATATCAGCCAAAGAGCCATAACTTAGAAAGTTGTCAGCATTTAATGCTGCCTCATTTTTTAACAGACAGAATTTGCCAACAGAATGATTATTTCTTATTTGGTGAGATAATGAACACCATTGCTGTTTGCCTGTTTACTCATACCGTTAATCTGACGTTGTCAGGCATCTTTGATGCATTATTTCCAACTCCTTACTTATCTAATTAATCCCAGCTTGCCTTCTGCAGAAAAAATCCCATCACTTGTCCCAGCTGTGTTTCTGTCTGTGCAGCCTGAGGTGCCCAGCAGGTCAGCACAGCCATCCGGGAAAGAGAGCTCCTGGCTCCCCATGTCACCGTGCCGGCTGCGACGCAGGGCCATATCGTTCTGTGTCAGCAGGGCTCACCAAGAGGAGGAGGCAGAGAGAGAGGGGCCATCAAGGCTCTCCTACACACATATCCATATGTGGAGGGCAAAAGGGAGCAAAACCATCTAAAAAAATTCCCTCAGGCCCCAGGGCAAAGCCATGCCCCTCTAGATGCTGTGCATCAGTGTCATCCCACCTGTGAGTGTTATTACACTGCTCACCTCCCCTTTCCTGGGGGAGCGTTGCCTTCCCAAGGAAGAGCTTTTCTGGGCTCCCTTGCCAGGCAGGGAGTGCCTAGCGCTGCTATTGCTGCCCTGGTCTCATGGAGGGGAAAGAGATGTTCTCTGTCTGCGGCAGAGAAAGAAGTGAGCTTCCATTATCATCCCCTTGGTAAAAGGATATGAAGTTTTGGGGTCTGAACAGCTGAAACTTAGTGGTACTGTCAAAAGTTAGTCACTATAATACCCTAATTAATTCATTCATTATTGTGGTAAGTTCTTCGGTGGCTTCTCTGAAGTGCTGTGGTTAGCGCAGTGCAGTTCTGACAGGCGTGCTTCAGCCCGAGAAACTCCAGGTGCCACAGCTACGCAGCACCCTGCCAGCTGGCTGGCTGTGGTGGTGAAGGGACCAGCCCCGTACCCAAACCCCAGGCATGTGCCCCAAGCTGGAGCTGACAGCCCGTGTGTGCCAGTTAGCCTCCTTGGGTGTGCTAGCGGCTCCGTGCAAGACTCTGCTCTCGTTAGCATGGAAGCATGTGACTGCCTTCTTGTAATAGCTTTGATTAAATTGGGTAAATGTCCATCCATAATTCCCATAACTCTCCCCATAAATGCTTGAACTGTTTTTGTGCCTGCCATCCATCGTGTTTCCAGGTGGTATGGTCGTCTGTAGAAGAGAGACAGGGGCCTTGAACAGATAATCCAACTAAAGCCTCTGGAGAGTCTTGGTGGACAAGAGATGATCCTGAAGCTGAGAGATACTGGAGGGAAGTGATGAAATAGTGCTCTACAGCTGGGCACAAGGTACTAGCTGTCAGTGCGTAGGGCCTCTTTCTTCTTCAAGATTTCACTCTGTCAAAAGAAAGAAAGATTGGAAGCACTGATACCCAACTGAAGAAGTGCTCATCCCTGTGTTTCCAAGAAGTATTTGGAGAAACAAAAATAATTTGGATTTTTAGTGTGCACCATACTGCAGAAGTTCAGAAGATTGTATCATTTCTGTACAACTCATAGAAGCCTAGAATCCAGTCTGAAAAGAGTCGAAGAGCAGCCCCCTACCAGGTCATTGCCTTAATTCTACTTGCAGCTAGAAACTTGGCAGGTTCAGGACATGCAGGCTCGCAGGAAATGCGAACCTAACCAGGTGTTTTGAACCCTTGAAAGTACATCCTGACTAAGCCTGGATTTGAGACACCCATCGTTTTGAGCCTCTTCATTCCTCCATATTTACAGTGAGTTAACTGCATTATTCTACAATCTAATTTAGTTTTCTTATGAAAGCTTCCTTTTTTTTTTTTTTCCAGAATATCCTGTCTTCCACTTTTATTATTGTTCATTACATTAACACAGTACTTTTTATTTTTTTTTGCCAGTGACTCTATTTAAGATGCACAGATGAAAAGGAAATGAAATGTGACATTCCATACTGAAAGGGATTGTATTTACAGTTTGCCTGTATGAAAGTCTGTAGATGAAGGTTTATTTCTTAAAGAAACCTGTCCTGACTACAGAGTTTCAGACTCTGGTTATTGCCTCTTTCCTATGAACTGGCCATCAGTGGGTATAGTTAGCTGGTTAAATACCTAGTGGCACATGCAAGTGAATACTGAAATTAGACATTCACGTACAAGGACACATTTATTTAAGTGCTGCATAACTTGTCATTGTTGCAAAACAAGACAGCCGAACTCTAAATTTTTGCAGACCTCATACTTGTTTGGATTTCTTTTGCTCCCTCTGCCCCTTAATTGCTGTGTCTGTGCCCATGTGTGCCTGCACACTCTGTCCACAGCCTGCCCGGATTTCCCCATTTATTTTCTATGTGTGAGGAAACTCGTGGAGGAAACAGCTATGTTTATGTTCCCATGTTTGTGTTATCTCTAATTGTTTTCTGTACCAACATGGCATGCTGAAGCTATTGTTTCAGTGCTGGCTGTAGCAGAACTGAGGGTTGGGTCTGGTGCAGCTCTGACTAGCGTAAGCACCCAACCCTGCATTTCAAAACTTCGCTACTTCTGAATGCTTGGATGCAGACAGCCAGCTGCAGATCTAGCAATGGATAAGTAGTCTCCACCTTCTCTGCATAGCTCCCGCGCTAACGGCGCTTCTAAAGGAATTGCCAGCAGAACAAATAATGAATTCTGCCACAAAAATTAAAGGATGAAGTCATGTCTTCAGAGCAAGGCTGTAAGATGAGGGGAAGAGTCCTAATACAAGAAAAACAAGGGTGTGAAAGCAGCAGAAGTGCAAGCCTGTTGTCATAGCAGCACAATGCTGCAGGGCTAAAACGTATCTTATGCGAAAACAGATGAGAATTAAGATACACAGGTGAGATCTGGGCGCAGCCAGGGAAGAAGGACGGCCAGCAGCATGCTGCAGACGGGCAGCCACCAGACATGTGGTCATCACGCCAGGTTCTGCCTCCTGTGGCACAGTGCTTGAGGGGACAGAACCTCTTGGGGGGATGTCATGCTCCAGAGGAGGGCCCAGGGGTCAGGGATGCCACACAACGTGGACACCAAGGCCTGCCCACTGGTGTCCAGGTGGTGTTGCAGGAGTGCAGCTGGCTAATGTGACCACGCAGAGGATTCCTGACTAAGTGACCTGAAAAACAGCCTTGACGTTGGGGTGTGTAGGACAACCCCCTCACTCCTGCTCAGGCAGAGAATCAGGAACAGATACATTGATGAACATGAAGTAAGAGCCATCTGCCATACCTCAGCTGAGGAGCCCTTCGTGAGGGTGGGCCACTGCATCATCTGCCCCCCAAGAGGTGCTGCAAGGACAGAGAGAAGACAAGCTGATGTGTGATCAGCAGCAAGAGTGAAGTCTTCCTCTCCGTGCCAAACAATGAGAAGTGGATTTCAGAGCCCATGACCAGGCTCCACGTAAGGAGCCCACTTGTGCTGCTCACTTGTCACAGCCTCCAGTAGCAGTCTAAAGAATTCCTCTTAGTGAAACAAATCCAGGTAAACTTGCCATGCTGCTGATCAGAATTAAGATCACATTCATTAGGAAAGCTTCTCCACTTCAGAGTAGAAATGTCTTCGCTCGCAGTTACCAAGTGGATAGTCAGGAATGTGTACATATACATGTATCTGCCAACGTACATGTTTGAGCAACAGCAGTTGCCCCTCAGTTGATGCTTTGTGCTTTGAACAGTTTTAGATTTTAATTACATGAAGATTGTTTGGAGAAGATACAATCCAAGTGTTTTAGGCAGCTAGAAAATTAGTTGTAAAAATACGTCGCTTCCGTAATTATTATCTTAGCATATTTACAGGAAATCTGATGGTAAGACTGCTGGAAAAGGAAGCCAGCTACAATTTCTGATGTGTTCTTCAAGCTGTTAGGATCAGCAAGCCTATTCCCTTGGCAGTGCATGCAGCCCCCATCCTTGGTTAGGAGGTTGCTGGCACCAGCAACCTCTGAAGCCCTGATTTAATTGCTGAAGGCCATGAATTTGTTGACAGATATCACTGGACCCAAGTGCCCAGGCTGGCCCCGAGGCCTGGCCCTTCTTAGAAGTTCCTTGCCTTCCCTGTCCACATTTCCTTCTGGTTAAAATACGTTCCTAGTAGTTTAATTCTGCCTGTGTCTGCACAGTTTTGTCTTCTGTAAAGCTCTGTCAGTCTTTTCTCTCATGTAAACCTTTTGCTTTTTCACTGAGATGGTCTCTCAAAGTGAATAAAAAAGCACTCTGCAAAGGTAGGACATGACAAAGATTACTGAGATAGTAGAGAAAGTGATGAAATTTATGGCAGTCCAAGAAAAGTTTTTTCCTCTCTTCATTTTCCTTGGCACAAGTACCCCATAAAAATTATCAAAAGAATGAGCCAGCTTTGCATGAGAGTGAAGCCTGTATAGAGAACCACTGTTTCAAACCAGAAAGCAGTTCAGAGCTCAAATCAGAGCTGGGATTTTAAGTAATAATACGTAATGAGTTCACTCGTTACTTTATTTCTGAGCCATCTCAGGCCTTCGTCCACACCATGTGATCAGTGAAAACTGAGGTTCTTGAAAAACACCACTTCAGGCACCACTGATGCTCTAGGAAACCACAGATTGGGTAAAAATGACAAAAAAAAAATAATGAGTTGGCAACACCGAAAAAGGTGAAGCTCGTATTTAGTTTTAACCATCCGACAAAGACTGAAGGAATCAAATGTTAGCAAAGGCAATGTAATACGGCATGGCAAAGATGTTACTCCCATGAGTAAAACATGACTCTGTGTGCCAGCTCATTTGCAATAGGGGAAGACATACGTATATCTCACTAGTTTTATCTAGTTGGCCATTCATCGACTATATGTCAAGTAACAAAGTGTGTTCAGGTCTTTATGATGAGTAATGTCACCTATAAAACACTGTGCAGCACTGCTCCACAGAAAAGCCAGACGAACCTTCTCACAGGCTGTATGACAAGCACAGGCTAGCTATGTGTACCCTTCATACTGCAGCTGGTGGCAGACTCCGCTCCCAGGGTCAGGCTGTCCTTCCACAAGTGAGAAATGGAATGAGAAACAGAGTAGTAGGGAGCTGGCACAGCTGCCCAGAGAAGCTGTGGTGCCCATCCCTGGAGGTGCTCAAGGCCAGGTAGGATGGGGCCCTGGGCAGCCTGATCTGATGAGGGGCAGCCCTGCCCACGGCAGGGGTTGGGGCTGGTTGGCTTTGGAGTCCCTTCCAATCTAAGCCATTCTATGATTCTGTGAAGTGGGAGCTTGATGAAGCTGACACATTTACAGGTCTCACCCACAGCCTCCATGCAGGCTGCGTGGAGGTCTGTGGTGAACCCTCTGATGGTCCCTGCCTCCCTGGACTGCACAGATGAGGAGCTGGGCCTTCATGGGCTTTCATTAGGCTAGCAGATGGCAAAACATAGCCATAGAGGGTTTCTGGGATCAGAGCATTTTGCAGGTGAATCGGCAGTTTCTGAGCCCTCCCTGCTGTGACAGGATCTGTGTGTCTTGTAGGAAGGTTCTTATAGTCTGAGCAAGCCATCAAACCCTGGCAGCAGACGCTTGCTTCTGCATTACAAAAAGGACTTCTATGCAAAGTGGTGGAGCTAGAGGTCTTCCTCTTCCCTTCATGTGGCTCCTTGGATCTTCTTCATGGACTGAGGAGAAAAAGCAGTATCCTGGCACCCCACCAGGCCCACAAGCCTCACCTGCTGCTGCTTGCAGGGAGGGATTTGTCTCCCTGTTGGAGCCACCTTTACTCCATTTGAAGTGAGCAGATCAGCAAGCATGGGGCTTAAAGGCCAGGACAAAGGTGTTTCTGTTGAAACATGGAGAGAGAGGGATATAAGTTGTTCTGCTGAGAGATTTAGACTGGATGTAAGGATAAAGTTTTTTACAATAAGGGTAGTGAAGTACTGGCACAGCTTACCCAGAGAGGTGGTGGATGTTCTGTACCTGGAAACACTCAAGGTAAGGCTGAAAAGGGCTCTGAGCTCCCTGACCTAACTGTAGGTGTCCCTGTTCATTGCAGGGGAGTTGACCTTTAAATGTCCCTTCCAACTCAAACCATTCTATGACTATATGAGTCTATGATTGTATGAATGAGCACTTTCAGCCAAAAGCAGCGCGTGAGGCCGTGGCCAGCAAGCTCCAGCAGTGCTGCACAGCCCTCGTGCTGCAGCACTCCAGCAGCATTCCCAGGAGGAGAGCTGCCTCCCAGGTCACTTGCATTGCTTGCTAACCAAACGGGCTGTGAGCGATGAGCAAGCAGTACGTGTCTCCCTTCAAGGAAAGCTATTCAGGCAGCCTTTGATATTCTTTTAGCTCTCCATCTCTACTAATAGGATCAGCAAGGATAAGAAAACAGTTGGGTAAATGAGAATCTGGTGGATTTATTTAGGATATAGTTCCCTGCTGTTCAGAGCTGAGCATGATGACGTTGTTCCCATCAGGGCAATCCATCCTCCTACTGCTGGCAGACCCAGGCTTCTGGCTGCCCTGTTGCTGTGTCAGGATGGGAGCAGTGTGGGGCTCTGAGCCCAAAATCATTGTGCCCAAGGAGCAACAAGTATTCAGCCTTCCATCGAAGATGTTACAGCAGCTGTGACAGCTGAATTTATTTTATAACCTAAATATTAAAAGAAAGTGGTTCAGATGTAAAAGGAAGCAAATGCAGCAGGGAGGAAGGGTAGGTACATAGCAGCACACACAGTTTGATAAAACTTGTGTGACAGTTCCCTTCCTCTGTTTTGTGTGACTTGATGGATCCTTTCTGAAGCAGTTGTACTGTTAATCCAGTACGAGCAGTAAATTCCTTTTGTTGCTCCTAGTTGTCCTCAGCTGCACTTCTCTATATGACATCTGGCTTTACAACTGTTGTCAATGAAATACATACAGCAACTGCCATTGTAAACAAATTAAAATCAGATGTCTGTCTTTGATTCAGTAAGCCAGAGCATTTTCCCAAACCATACCTTTGAATTCAATGCTCTAAAACAGCTCTTGAAGAACTTTTCAAAAGCAAGCAGGAAAGATGGGAAGAATTCCCAACGCAGGATCATTTCTCTGGCACTTTCTTGCAAATCTCTTTATTATGGTTTTAGAAGAAAGGTTGTGCAAGAACCCCTAATCTGTCACACAGAAAGTTACTTGTTCCCCCACCAAGATGGAAAATTTCTTTCTCACCATGATAAGGTCCTGTGTTCTCCCAATGCCGTGAAAAGGTTCATTAGTTTGGTTCATTTCTCAAATCTGTCTTTCTAATGTCAGTACTGAACTGTTCTTGTGTAGAAAATAAAAACTGCTCAAGTGTGTAAAAAACACACCTCCAAACTGCTGGAGAAACGCAGAGATTATAAGAACTTTGTATTTTTGCAGATATAACATCATATCAACCTGAGGAATGGGGGCGGCTTGGTTAAATTTATACTCCATCACAGACAGTACAATGTAACTGTAAAATAATCAGATTGGTAGTATCATCCAAATGGCATTGGTCTTATTTTTCTGCAAATAGGTCTGAAATGGCACAGAGATGTCTCTACAACCATTTAAGTTCTACAGGATTTTAGCCCTGAGTATTAGACGTGTCATCTGTTGTCACCAGACAAGTATATGAGCTGTGCTGCTGTGCCATATGCTATCTGCTGCTTTATAATCAGCATTTCTCTTCAGAAAAAACTAGTTCCGTTAGATGTCACTTAATCCCAGCCTCTACTGGGTGCAGCAACCTACTGTCCTCCTTGGGAAACTGTATACGGTTACAAAACAAGAAATTGTGTCCCCTTAGCCCATCCTTTTTGTCTTGCTCAAAATCTTAAGGCAGAAAGTGGCCATTCCCCTCTCTAGAGACAAGCTGAATGTGGGCTGGCAGCCTCAGGTGATGCCAGCACTGGACAGCAGAAGCAGTGATGTGTGGGGGTCCCAGCATTGAGGTTCAGATGTCCCCACACCCACTGCAGGACAGCAGAGGACACTCAGCCACTAGGGCTCAGACTTGGTGGGAGGAGAGGTGGTCCTGGCCTTGGCAGCACCCTTATGGGAGGTATTGGTGTCCTTTGCACAGTGAACACAGCACATCAAGGGTTGCATGGTGATAGTAATGATTCAAGGTATTTCATAAGGAAAATACCCCCAAACCAGCTTGCACTTTGCTGAGACTCCTTACATTAGCAAGCTCAGTGCTCTACTACTGAAAAATACTGCAACCCCACTTGTTAGTGCTCTTCCCTTAATGTCTTTTAGATGTCATGTTTCTTCTGCATTAATTAAAATGGATTTAGAAGGGGTTGTACGATTTTTCTGTACTTTGTCAGAAGAGAGCATAATCTTTCTGCCCTTTCGATGCTCCAAAATAACTGAATGTGCTTTGGATCAGAGCTCATGGAAAATTTCAGCAGGATGCAAAGCGACTTTTAAAGGAGGGCTGCATTAAAAGCTGCCCGAAAGCAAACAATAAGCAGGGATAGCCCACAGGCTCTAAAATGAAGGCTTCCTCTGATAAACAGAGAGGAGAACAGTGGTGACTGTTCTGTGACTTCTCGCTCTCGGGTAGGCAGAGGGATTGATGGGGTCGAGCTGGAGACAAAAAGTGGATGGCTTAACCAGTGCCAGCTCCAGGTGCTGATGATCCTGGCCCTCCTCTGCAGGCTGCATCCCAGCTTCCTCCCGCAGCCTGGGGGTCACCAGCGTGACGACATCCCCTGTGCCAGCCAGGCTGTCCCTGCCATCCCACCTGCCCACAATACCAGCAAGGGACGCAGGAGACTGATGCTGCTATTTTAATGCATGCTTCTTTTTTGCGCTGAGTTTGCCGTGAGTACCGCAGCCACCAGAACGCTCGCTGCTCTTGTCTGGCTGGAATAGGAGAGGGACGGAGGCTGCGAGCCGCTGTTGCTCTGGCTGCTGCCGAGCGGGATGAACTGATGAATAACGTCTGTGATTTCTCTTTCCCTTGTAGTTGCACTCTGCTGTGACCAGGATCCAAGTGCAAAGACCTGGTTTCAATTACACGTTTGCCCATATATGTATCCTGAACAATGACAAGACATGCATAGTGGACGACATAGTGCATGTGCTGGAGGAATTAAAGGCTGCTCGTTCTTCTAATCGAACTAATTTTGCAATCACTTATCCGATTACTCACTTAAAGGATGGCAGGGAAGTGTATAATGGGCATCAACTTGGTGGGGTTACTGTGCACAGCAAAGACCGGGTGAAGTCTGCAGAAGCCATTCAGCTCACCTACTACTTGCAGGCAATCAACTCCTTGAATGACATGGTGGCAGAAAAGTGGGAATCCATTTTTTGTGACACTGTTGAACTTTTCCAGAAATCCAACAGGAAAGTCAAAATGTATCCTTTTACTTCTTCTTCGCTGAAGGAGGATTTCCAGAAGACGAGCAGGGTGTCAGAACGCTACCTGATCACAAGCTTGGTCCTTGTGGTCACCTTGGCCATTCTCTGCTGCTCCATGCAGGATTGTGTCCGCAGCAAACCCTGGCTTGGCCTGCTGGGATTGCTGACCGTGACCCTTGCCACCCTGACTGCAGCCGGGATCATCAATCTCACTGGTGGGAAATACAATTCCACCTTCCTGGGGATCCCCTTCGTCATGTTAGGTAACTATCTCCTACTCTCTCTTTTGTGTGTTTGTGCCTCCCTGACGCCTTTCCCAGCCGGCGGAGAAGCAGCACTGCATGACTCCCAGTATCTGCTCCCTGTAACGCTGCCCCGTGCCAAATCCGCACCGCCTCATTTCCTAAACAGCTTGTGCCGTGCCCGGACGTTGCGATTATTTCTGGGTTTCTGCTGTATGGCACAGTGCCCACGTGGTGGTGAGGACCAAGTACGTGCTGCTGCCATGCGCGGTGCAAGGAGCCCTGCTGCTGTTGCTCTGCGTTTCAGTGGCCAGCTTTAGGAGACCTGCGTGTGGCTCTCTTGCTGGACTGGCAGTATCGGCTGCCCTGACAAATAAAGGGCGGATGGAGAGCTCGCTCCTTGGCAGAGCAGAGCGATGCAGGGCGGGAGCTCCCTGTGCGTTGTGCTGCAGCCCCTTGCTGTGCTGCGGGATCTTTTCTGGAGGATGGGGAGGAGGGCAGGATGGGTAGCTCCCAAGCTGCGATCTCGTGCCTTTGTGTTGGTGCCAGTGGTTCAGGATGTTTGCCCTCCAACCAGACAGGCAGGGGCTTCCCAAGGGGCAGAAGGAGCTTTGGGGATCTCACAGCCTCTGTGTTTGTGTTTGGTTCGTGAGCAGCGTGAAAAGCTCCACGTGCCGTAGGTGTTTAATGTGCCCTCGTTCCCAGCATTGTTCATTGGTGGAGAATAATACATGCATTGATTTGATCACAGCTTTCCCAGCTGAAAATCAGTGCTCAGGAATACTTCAGATTTCAAGAGTAAGAGTGCCTTTGCTGACTTAGCTGCATCATGTAGTGATACGTTGCGTTTCAGCACAGCTGTTTTTATACTGAGCGCCAGGTTCCTGTGCCATGCCCGTGCTGTATCTGTGGTATTGCTGCACTTTAATTAAAGACTATGCTTCAGTGCCTCACACTACCAGCTAATGTGCAGAATGTATTTGGTGACAAAGAGAGTTCAGCTGCATTGCATCGGCTGCAGCGTGTCACTCTTGTTTTCAGGTGATATCTGTGTAAATTGAACTGCCTCATAATCTAGAGGAGAAACAGCACAAGGAGTCAGAGTTGAAGGCTTTCTGACCCAGATCTTTGTTTTCTTTTATGGGTTCTTATGTTTATGCATGTGTTAGAAAAATCTCTTTCTCAAAGTAGTCTGTGTAAGCTACAAAAGAGTGGCCATAGCAGGAAAACAGTTTGAAGTACAGCCTCTGAAAGGAAAGTGCCTGGGGAAGGTTACTTTGAAATATGAAATATTACCTCTTTTCAGGGAGCAAGGCTGCTGCTTTCCGGGGCAGCCTTTCAAATCATGAGTTCACTGATAGTGGCTACACTGAGATTTGGAATCATTAAATATTACAGATCATTACGAAAAATCTGGTTGTGCTTAGTGAGTTTCAGGTGCACAGCTCAGCTCTCACTGTGAGCAAGCCAGGGCAAAGCAGTGTGTTCATGGGAATCTCACATGCTTCCCTGGCTTCATTGAGGTTAGGAGTTTTTAATGAGAACTGCTTTAAAACAGTAATAGCTGGAAAGGCATGACTTTTCTTTCTTTTTTTTTTTTTATTATTTTTTTCTGCTGCAGTAACACAACAAGATTCATCATGCATTTCAAAATGTGCTTCATTCCTATACATCACTTTGCTTGCAGAGGATGGTTTAGCTCAAGGTGGCTGAAGGCTGGAGACACAAACCACTTTCCATTATAGCTGGCTGAACTACTTCCACTTAATTTCAGTGACCATCAGATTAGATCGTAGATTAACTGACCTTTAGAAAGCTAAAGGATTTCTGGCTAACAGTGTAGTCCCATAGCTATTACTCATAATCTCATGGCTAAAAGCAGAAATTAGATAGAAAAAATGCTTACGCTGGACACATTTCAGGCAAGGCCCCTCTTCTAGTATAAATCATTAATGAAGTTTCCCTGGTTTGTAGCAGCTGAGGATTTTTAACTTTCCATCAGCACTGTGAGTTGAGGGTGCTCCCCAGACATGGTCTGACCTCTGCTGCAGGACAACATCACGTCTTCCCCAGCTCTGTCTCCTTGGAGCGCTTCCCGCTGTCGCTCACTGTGCTACCTCTGCAGCATTGGCATCACGTCTAACCCAAATTCCCCTTTTGCAGCTCAGCTGCCCTTATTCATCCACAGCATCTGGAAAACCACATATTTTCTTTTTCTTGACATATTTGGGAACGCTCCCAGTTGTGCAGTCCTCTTCTGTTCCATCCCGGCTTCCCTCAGGTGGTTCTTCCTGGCCTTACAGCAAACTCATTGCTCTTGGCTGCTCCACATCCCCTGTGGAGTGCGGTGCCTGGAGCTGGGCGCAGGATTTGGGCTGCGGCTTTCAGCACCAAGCAAAGTGGGAGGATTATTTCACACATCTCACATATGTCACTCCTGTTCATATATCCCGACATGACATTCATTTTTTGCAGCAATCTGAAGTGGTTGGCACTCGGTTTGTTGCGTGCAGTAATTCACCAACCATGCATGCTGCTTTCTGCCGTGTTTGCACAACCGATTGTTCCAGCACGAGGTTTACCCTTGTCCTTGCTGAACGTCTCATTTATGTCACACCACTGCTCCTGTTTGCTAAGTTCACCCTGATGTCATGACTGCTGTTCCAAGATACGTTCACTGAAGATGGTCGGCAATGTTTTGCAATTACCCACTTTCTCATATTTTCAGGAATTCCTTTCGGAATAGCTCGGGTTGTTTGTCCAGTCATAAGTTTGTGTTAATCATTTAGACAATATGGCCACAGAACCCTCGGTTCGGTGCGCTCTGTAATGCTCATTTTTATCCATCATGTTTCCCTTAGCATCCCTCAGCACCAGCCATTTCCAAGAACAAGCAATCTGCAGGGAAGGGTGCCAGCCTCTGTGTGTGTTCGTCCTTAACTTCAGCACCACTGGGACAATTACAAGTACTGAAATTAGCACAGCTGAGCAAGCTGCACTCCCAAGCTCTGACAGTGTGAGCAGGCAGAAACATCTTTTGCTTTCCCCACCTGTTAAATACAACATACTACTTTAAACCTCCTGTGCTTTGGATTTAATCACCTTCAGTGTACTGTCTCCTAATTTATTTTCCTCTTTAATTAAGGCAGATTACAGTAGCTCAGCTGATGAAAGGTAACTCATTGAGTTGTGGTAACGCAAGCACCAATGTCTGCCTGTACCTAGGGCCAGTGCCTGTACTGGATTTCTCCTGCAAGGAGGCCAGCAGGCTGCATGCTGCCTGCAGCCTCCCTCTTCTCCAGTGAAGGCTCAGCAGGTCTGGCGGGGATCTTCTCATCAGCTTGGCAGGCTCCCACCATTCATCTGGGTGTATTTAGAGTTAGTGTATGCCTTGCCGATTCCATGGAGCTGCTGCCACCTGCACTTAGCAGAGTCGTGTAAAGGCAGAGGTACTCACATGCCTGGTTCAGATGGAATACTTGGCTGCAGTAAGTCTGTCCACTTTTGACCCTAAGAATTATATACAAAAAGAACAAATTCTTCCTAATTCAGACGAATTGAAAATAGTCAAGTTGTTGTGCCAGCTGAAAAGCAGAAACAAAATTCTGATTTCCTGCTGCTCGTTCCACTGAAATCTACAGATGTTTGGTCTGGCACAGATGCTAATGTATTCATTGCAAGTTTTCCTTTATGCATTAAATATTGTTTAATAACTGCCAATCCTATAAAAATACCAGTTTCCTCAAAAAAAAAAAAAAAAAAAAAAAGCCACAAAACAAGGCACTGAACAAGCAGCAGGGCTGGCTGAGTGAGATTCTGGCCTGAGTGTCTTACCTCCTGCAGGTGCAGCACAACACTAGACATGGGGGCTCAGAAGCAAACTGCACGCTGCTCTCTGTCCTTAAGGGGATACCCACAGGGGAGGGACACAGCTTTTCCCAGCCACCAGCTGGGTGGCAGGGCTCAGTTCTGTAGAGTGGTTGGTGGTGCCAGGCACTGCCAAATAGGGGAGAGACACAGGGCTGGCTCCACACGCTTATATTTAGCCTCGGGTCTGAGGTGGAACTGGCACGGGAAACACAGCTAGCAGTTAGGAGAGCAGCTTGAGTTTGAAGCTTTCTGTAAACTGAAGGGGAACAAGCCTGGTGCCAAAGCTAACATAACAGGGAGGGACTCTCTTACTGTATCCCTCACTCCGAGCTCCTGTGTCATGGCACCCACGGCAGCTCCTGCAGTGTGGTTACTGCTTCTGGATACTGGGTTGGAGGGAGCACAGGGGCAGGACTGTTTGCTGAGGGCTCTGCACTGGGGCCGTGGAGATGCTGGAGGCTGGACAGCAAAGGTCAAAGGGAGAAAAGGACTGGAGCAGCCAGTGCGCAGCCCCTGGGGAATGCAAGTGCTGCAGAGCTGGGCCAGATGGGCTCAGGGTCCTGATCAGTTTGCAAGGTACCAGCCTCACTAGGGAGCTGTGACATATGCCAGATTTGTAAGCCCTAAAAGCATTCATTATCTCCCCTATCAAGCACCCATGTGTTTGCTATATTCAATAAAACCAAAGTGTCAACTTTGGTTACATATAAAGATTTACAAAGAGAAAGAAACATCTCCTGAGGTACCCTTCAGTCCACACGTAAAGGTAACAGACACGCAAATGTTTGACTTTGTATAACATTTTTCCACCGTTTTCTCTGCTGTCAGCTAATAAAAATGTGAAGTGTACTGAGCCTCTCTTGTCTTTATTCCCTGCACTGAGCTCTCTCACTTCTCTTGCCAACCTGACCCTCCAACCCTGCCTGCTGGGGGAAATCCGCTCTTCTCATCTGGACATCACCCTATGTCCCTCATCCCATTCTCCTCTCCCTCATCTCAGTTGCATTTTGGGGCAGCCCCCAAAGCAGATCTCACCCATCTTCTCATTCCGGGTGCAGCACTCTCTTCCCTTATCCCAGCACTGCTCTCAGGGTATTTTGTTCTTCCCCATCTTTCTTTGTCCTTTTCTCCTTGGCCATAGCTGTATCCAC